TGAACAAATGACAAAAAGTCACCTTATAGGAAAATAAAAACCCTTCATTGTAAGGAGGATTTTTATTACATAAGGCTTAATTCAACCTTTTAAATTTATAGATCTTCTTCATCATCTACCTCGAGTTGAGTCATTGAGGCAACAGGTCCAGGAGAGAAACCCAGACACTCAGTGACACTTTCTAGTTCATCCTGGGGGACCCCTAGGTGTTCCCAATCCAGAGAAGATGCATGAACCCTCCAACATTTTCTGAGTCTGTCGTGATCAGCGGCCCCCGCTGGCCCCCATCTGCTCACTTTCCTGCCCCTTCATGACATGCTATGTTTTCTGCCATTCTGATCATAGTTTCTGTTCATGTTTATTCTCATCTCCTGTCAACCTGCACCTCTGCCTGCTCACTTCACCACACCCCCTCAGCCTATCACAGCAATCAGCCCTGATTCCACTCACCTGTTCAGCTCATCTGGTTCACCTGCTCTGCACCCTTCATAAGATCCATTTTCCCTCTCCACCAGGGCGAGATTATTACACCTTCCATGGTACCTGATTTTCAAGCCCTCATAGTTTCATGCCTAGACCTCAAGCCTTGCTCTCTGGATTATTGACCTCACGCCTGCCTTCTGGATTTCCCGTTTTTTGCCTGCTCCTCATCTGGTTCTGTTCTGCCTCTCTGACCACGGTAACAACCTCCTCTTCAGTCTATGACCTTGACTCACGGATCACCCTTTTGGATTGCCCTTTGGACCACAAACTTTCATTGCCCCACTGTCCATAGCATTAAAGGCCTCCCTCTGCAGCTACCAGCAGCCTTATTAATAAAAACTGTTAATTTTTGCACCCCTGTGTCTGCTTATATTGAATCCAAAACCTTGGTCCGTGACAGAGTCTTCCCCAGGACCCCCTACCAATGGGACATGCCCGGAAAACCTCAAAAAGGAGGCATCCGTGAGGATCCTAATCAGATGCCTGAACCGCCTCATCTGACTCCTTTCAATGTGGAGGAGCAGCGGCTCTACTCTGAGCTCCCCCAGGATGATGGAGCTCCTCAGTCTATCTCTAAGGCTGAGCCCGGCCACCCTGTGATGGAAGCCCATTTTGGCTGCTTGTATCCAGGATCTCGTTCTTTCTGTCATGATCCAAACCTCATGACCGTAGGTGAGGATTGGAAGAAAGACAGACCAGAACTTTGCCTTTCGACTCTGCTCTTTCTTCACAACAACAGACCGAATCAATGCCCTCATTACTGAGGATGAGGCCCCATTCTGTCAATCCAGTTCCTGCTCCATCCTACCATCACTTGTGAACAAGATGCCCAGATATTCCCCTATCTGAGGCAAAGTCTCCCCCCTGCCCCCAGACATGGAGTGTGTATTCCACCCATTTCTGGTGAAGAACCATGGCCTCAGACTTTAAGGAGCTGACTTTCATTCCAGCTGCTTCACACTTGGCTGTGAACTGCCCCAGTGCATGCTGAAGTTCTTGGCTGAAGACACCAACAGAACCATATCATAGTCATAAACCTTCTCCAGGTCCACAAAACACATGTAGACTGGAGAGGCAAGCTCCCATGACCCCATCAACACCTCCGCAAGGGTGGAGATCTCGTCCACTGTTCCATGACCAGGACAGAAGTCACACTGTTCCTCCTGAATCCGAGGTTCGACAATTGGTTGGAGTCTCCCTTCTAACACCCTGGGGTAAACTTTCCCGGGGAGGGTGACAAGTGTGATCCCATGAAAGTTGGAACACATTCTCTGGTCCCTCTATTGAAAAATTGGAACCACCACCCTGGTCTGCCACTCCCCAGGAATTGTCCCAGTCATTCATGCGACATTGAGATTTGTCACCTTCACATCCACTGCCTTCAACATCTTGGGGAAAATCTTGTTCACGCCTGGCATCGTGACACAGAAGAGCTTTTTTGATTATCCCAGTGACCTCTGCTATGGCAACGGACTCGTCTTCACCCGAGTCCTCTGACTCTACCTCTTCAAAGGTGGACATGGTGGTGGATTAATGAGATCCTCAAAGTGGTCCTTCCACCACTCAACAAGATCCTTGGTCCAGGTCAGTTAACTCGTACCCTTTAAATATAAAATTATTTGATCACAGAACATAAACACTGGCTTTTTCAAACGATTTCTTTATTTTAAAAACTACAAGGATTTATTAAAACTATGTAAAAACAAAAAGGCGATACAACGTGAGACAACATTTCCTGCTTGAAGTGTACTTGAGTAAACTTAGCCTGCAAAGTTGTTATTCTTTTTGTGTTTTGCAATGTGGAACAGGGGTGTGTCTTTGTTGTGTCTACACACTTTTAACCTATTAGAAATACAGTCACGTGAACACTCGCTTGTGCTCCTTCTTGCTGACATGCAGTCACACACGCACACACAAGGGTAGAAGTCAATAAATGGCAGAAGGAAGGGTGTGTGGAGTTTCTCCTGTCAGACCAGTGATTACAGCCAAATAGGTCAATAAATCCATAAAAACATAAAAACGTGTACAGGATAGAACTGTAGTGAATCGTCCGTGAAACCACAATACCATTATTATGGCTTGTAAGAACTTTATTTCATAAATGTGCTGTTTTAAACACATAGAAATATAATTAACGAGCTCCAAACAAAGCGCCTATAAAGAACTTGCTCGCTTACGTAAATAAAGAATTATTGAAAAGCTTTGTTGTTCCGCACTCCTGCACGCACATGCTCGTCTAAAGGAAATTCACAAAGCACAGCAGAAACTTGTGTTGATTCTGTGTTTTGTTTGCGCTGACTGGACGGGTGATTTTTCTTTTTCCTTTTTTTAAATGCGAGTCTCACCTGGGAGTGGCAAATTTAACATTAGTTGCTGGACAATGCCACACAATGACAACCCCTGCCGAGGGGTGCCCATTTACAGACAAATTCCCTTGACAACAGAATGGCTCACTTCCCCAAAGTGGTTCCATTATTTTTTCAACTGCAGGCAAGAGGTTGTCATACTGAAGTAAACAATCAAAACTCCAGTGCATCTGAGGAGTGGCTGTGCAAACACACACACATGCACACACATGCTTGGACATGCAGAAACATACATGTATGCATGCACAGTCACGTAAAACACATAAATGAGCTGAACAGACATCCATGCACAGCTCTAGTTAACGCTGCTGCTGAGTGGCTCGGACTAGCGCTGAGGCTACATTCCTCTGCCCTCCCTCCACCGTCTCTCTCTCTGAGAACACACAGCAGACTGCTGGGTCACATGTACCAACAGTGATCTTAGAGATGAAGTGCAAATACACAAACTGGGCCAACAGTGAGCTCCCTGCCCATTCACGTGTAGAAAGGACATAAGAGGCAAATTTTCAACAGTTTTATCACACATTCTTATATATATATGTATATATATATATATATATATATATATATATAT